CATGATAGAGGAATATAAATTAACTTTAGAGACGGCCAGTCACAGACTATACCACTTCTTCTCATATTTCTTTTATAAATTTTGTTTATCCAACTCCCTACATTAAAAAGAAATTTCTCATATATTGGGACTTTACCCTTATTCTCTATGAACAATTTTTTTCTCTCCATCACTTTCACATTTAGTATCTATTTAATCCAGCCTTCATAGACTACGAGACATAATGTTACATATTTTTAACCTGAAGATTAAAATTCTACTTACAAGCTAGGTGAAAATCTTTTCCCTTACTTTTTTTGAGGAAAACAATAAATTATGTTCACACAGGTAACATTAAACTTTGTTTACAAAGGTAAAGATCACATAAAACAAGGATACTATCTAATCTGATAAAGACATCTTCATTTTCATTTGTTTCCTGGACAGTAATCAGTGCATGCATATAAAAATTCAAAAATGTGTCTTAGTATTGATTTTGTTATAAAATCATTATTTTCCATGCATAAATTTTATAGTAGAAAAAAATCCCCCTAAATTAACATACAGAATGATGACCCATGCAACATTTACCAAAATGAGTAAGAACTGTTTAAATATCTCTGAAGACCACTTCGACATTGTTTTAAACAAAAGTAAGGATAAAAAAAAACAAATTTAAGTCTGAAACATTGAAAAATCCTCCTACCTCCATTTAAGTCAGAAAGCCAATAGAGAAGCAGTTCATCCTGATCAAGACGACATAAACGGACCCCTCGAAAATGGAAATCTATAAAACGGCACAAATAATATGATACAATATTTTTAAATCTGCATACACAGTCAATATTATGTACGTCTCTTTAGATTTCCTACCGATCAAGGCATTTCTTCCTTCTCCAAGCAAATCCCATTAGCTCACGAAAATAAAGCCAATCTCTAGAGTAATGTGGCACTAAAGAAGGAATACAGCAGAAAAAATTCACTTTGTCCAAATTTCCACTTCTATAAACCTGAATAAATTTATCCAAGATCCCATATACTTGGTCTTAAAAGATTAAAAAACATCATAGAAGCCACCTCTAGAACTTAATTTGGTTAAGTCCGAGTTTTGATCCAAAGTCCCACATTAACTATTCAACAACCAGAATTTTTACCCCAATTTGTTTCATTTGTAACTGAATATCTGCAGCAGCTTTGGGTCCTGATCCTACATTGATGTTGTCCAAGCTGGTGGTATAATTGGGGATGGATAAGTGTGTATGTGCCTGGTGGTCGTATGCCCTGCTCTTGGTTGGTGAGAGATTAGGCTGATCGTGTAAGGCAAAAGGTCAGCTGATTCTCAACACCAATTAATTGGTGCAGCAAAGCTCAGCTGGGCATTCTTATTAAAAATCAACAAGTCCTATGACTTGAACCTCATGTTGCTATTTACATACAGTCATGCTCATACCATAGTCCTCCTTAAAAGCATAGGAATATTTTCCTTTTCTCAATAGAAGAACTTTCCACTTAATAACTTTTTCTGTATTAATTTTTTTTTAATATGACACAATTTACAAACTTTTTTTGGACTAAAAAATCTCCCTCATTCCAAGAAAGTGAAAATTTAGAAATATCTTTTAAAATTTTTTTTGTATCATTTTTCCCTGCCGTAGAAAATTGCATGAACATTTACCTTAAACAATTTTCCTAATTACAAAAATGCTGTGTGTATATGTAATACATGTGAAACACAAAATGGCTGTATAGAGATAGTAATCTGATAAATAAATCATTGCCCATTAATCAATACAACAGTTCACACAACTGACACACTTCTGCTCCGATTCAATGAAATGTTGTTTTAACCCTTGTATCAATTGCTCTTTTCTTCCCTTTCCACCAGCAGCAGATTTAATGAGCCAGTTCACTTCTGCAGCCAAAGAGACAATCCTCTTTTCTGAACTAAGCCAGCTACAAAAAGCTGTGAGATGGAATTGTGTGGGGGGATGAAATCTCACAGAAAAAAAACGTTACATGTATAGAAATAATAATAATAATAATGATAAAAATAACACACGTATGAATATACGCATATAATATCTGTGTCCTAAAAATAATACCTCAATCAATATGTCAAAGACTTATAGGTAGAGCAAATCATTAAGTGATGGGCATATATGTATGTGTATAGTTAGTATAAAGCTTTTAGAGAGGAGTGGTCGTACTTCAGCATTTAATCGGTTATCACCATTGACACCATTGCAAATCAGGCGAATGTTTAAATTCTGGTTTAAATTATTACAGTCTGAAAATTGTATATTTTTTTTTCTTATTGTAGTTGTGAAAATGACACATTATCATACCAGGGGATCACACAAGGATTATTTCTTTACAAAGAAACTTAAAATACAATGACAAGTTGCTTCATGTGTTTTCAGGAAAGCAGACATTTCAAAAAATCAAACATCTGCCATCAAAGCATGCACAGAATATTTAAAGTCACTGACATATTTATAAATTCAGTGTTGTGAAAGCCCAAGTCATTTTACCGAATGGGAGTTTTCATTCATAAACAGTCATGAATATGGCATTGTCTGAATAATTGATCATTGCAATTAACTGCACCAACAGGGAGTTCCTAATAAAACAGTAAGCACATGCTCTCCAAAGTTCTCAATCATTATCATTTTTTTCTGCAATTTTTATGAAAATCAAAAGAAGGGGTCAAAGGTTACCTAACTTACTTAAGTATTAAGTTTTTTATTATTTAAAGTAAGTTTTTATTATTTGAGTAAATGTTTTAGATGCTTAACTTATGACATGAACACCTGTATCACTTAATTACTATAATTCCACAAAATTAAATATTCATACCATATTAAAAGGAATATGATTCTTCAAAATGACTTGAATGTCATACATAGAACACGACCATGATTTAGGCTATGCCCATTTTATACACATGAATTACTGTTAACTATTTCTGAAATAGGTCACTAAGGCATCAGTTCTAAACACTTCACATGATGTATTTTGTTTAAACTACGCCCTAGACAGCTCATATCTATTGTATTTTCCTCATCACAAATCTTACAGCATATTTCAAAAACTTTCTTCTCTGTATTTTTTGTCAAATAAAATTTTATCCAAAATTCATCAGTGTATTGCATGAAATACATGTGATGATCACTTTCACTATCTGAGACTGCAGACACCAAACTCATTAAAATGTCTGCTAAAAGCGGTGGTTTTATAGCATTTTTACCCCTCTTTTATCCACTTTAAAGTTCATCAAACTTAACTTTACATGTGCATGCAATGTACTTCGTTTACTTTTATCCCTTTGACCTTGAAACTTCTGAGGAAATATGAACTTATGATAATTCAACATTATAACCAATATGATGATTTTTGAATCAACTTTCTTGCCACGACTAATCCATACACGCATATCTATGAATATGTACAATATGACAAAATATCCCCCCCCCCCCCCAAAAAAAAAAACATTCAGAATGAAATTCTCCCCCTTCCCTCTTTACTTTTAAATTTCTATATTCAGACCTTAGAAATCTTCAGAGAAAAAGAGTAACCCCCAAACAAACAAAAGGAAATTCCAGAACTGAGTATCATATTCATTTCATTTTCCACACATCTACACACACACACACACTCTGAACTCTAACATGTCGGGAATGCTGGAGATATAAGCCACTTCCGCCTCGGGGTTAAGGAGAAGGAAGATTTACACCTGATGTTTCCCGATCAAGTCTGGAGAAATATTATTATCTGTTTTCAAATCTTCTTCCATTAAAACTAACAGGTTGTTTTTTTAAGTCACTGAGGAAAAAAATTAGCTCTTTTCTTTCTTTTTTTTTAATTTTGCAATTGATTGACAGATTAATTGATGCTTTAAACATTTGGAACATTCTTTTGGCAAACTTTTTTTAAATTATACACAATGGAGGCATTTTACATCCTAATGTCAAACTAATTAATTTTGATATTTTGGGGGTTTAACAATCTCTGAATTAAGAATTTTTGCTTTGTAATATTGTTTTATTTCACACATATACAACAGAAATTAATTAAATTTCTACATAGGGCTGAATCTATGAACCATTTCTTTGATCTTAAACAAAAGTATATGTAATTAAGAATGTGATAATTTTTTAATACATGCACCTTAATAAGAACAGGGTGATAGTGTTACAAAAAAAAAAAATCTGTTATCCTTTTCAATTACACAAAAAATGTACATCAAAATACTTCCCACTAAAAAAGCTAGGTGTATATGTTAATGGCCACCAACAGTTCTTTTTTTACAGGACGACTGCTTTCTCACATTATTGTGAGGTCATACTGATAAAACCCGAGGTGAGAGGTGATATAAAACATGTAGGAACACTTATAGCAGAATGGCAATTTCTTGTAACCTGTTATCTACTTGTAATAAAAAACTTCCATTCTGGCAAGACAACACAAAATGCAGTGCACTCAACCCTGCAAGGTAGTTGAGTCAAGCTAAAAAAAAATTACAAATTGGTATTCAAATACACACTTATGGAGTGATTCAAATGAAGAACTTGCATGTAACCTACACCCCACCCCTGAGTTAAGGACGTTGTGTTCTATGTGGGTAATTCTTGCCTAAGATATTTTACGCCAGCTCTGAAAAAAGCCTCATTATATTTCTTCACATAATCAGTACTGCCATACACCCACATGTATTTCTCCTTACATCTCTGCTTTAGACTTACTCAGAACACTTACTCTCTTTCATATGGTAACTAAAATTCACTTATTCCTTTATCATTACTAGTATATACATAAATACAATTTACCATCTCATTGTAATGCATTATTATGTACATCTATATACCAATGAAATGATTATGGTAAATACAAGAGAATAGATAGCTTAATGACTATGAGATTTTATCCAATGAAAACAGAGGTCATGAACAAATATATATTAAAATTATACACAGATTAAAGCTATAGAAAACAGCTGTAAATTAAAGTTAGTAATGTGTTACCTGTCACGGCAGCTGCCTGTAAACTGAAAGGCTAGATCGTCCACAAATTTCCTGGTAATCGCAATCAAGTGTTTCTGATTCAAGACCATGTGGAAGTCACATTTTACATATCAATCTGAAAGAGACAGAAGCGAAAAAAAAGTGAGTGTTAATGGTAATAGCAAAATCACAAAAGGAAGTAAACAGCAGTTAAATATGTATTCTTGTCGTTTGTCTCCGTACAGCCTTACTAGAGCTTCCTCAATCCCACCCCACTGAATCTTATAGGCAGTATCTGAGATATAGCTCTGTAATTGGCCAGTCAATAGACCAGAAATACCAAATAAAGACCTGTGTGTGATAATTACCGTATTAGCTCTATCTCTACTATTTCCGAGTAAATCAAATAAGCGGGAAAAAAAGTAATGATGTATGGAGATTATCTCTTCATGAACTAGATGGAACTTTTCTTTACCAATTTTAAAATTTTATCGTTGAAAACTTACCGAATAAGGAAGACTTGTTTTAAAATAAGATAATCAGATGATCAAATGTTAAGCTAATCCATAAAGACGCAAGATTATGTTTCCAAATAAAAATAAACTTTTTAATCCTTGGTGCACCTTATTTTTGATAAATCTTAAGCAATTTTAAGAGCACATTGATAGTTTTAAGCACATCAGACCCTAACACCCAGACTAAAGATTCTTAAAGTTTAATGACTTGTTTGAGGGATTAAACACTTAAACTGACTTCTGATCAGTTTATGGGGTGCAGGCCACAAACTGCCGACAAATCAAAGGGTTTTATCTTCTTGTGGTCACTGATCTTGGCCGGAGGAAAAACCACAAGTAAACGGGCTCTTAACCTGTCCCCCCCCCCTCCAATTAGCTTTACCCCAAAAGTCTATTACCAGCATATGCCATCAGCAAAATTGGTGGATAATCATTAAGCAACCTTTAAAAGTTTATTCATATCCAATAAAATTTCCATGATATGGTAATTTTTTTTACATTAGAATAAGGCTTAAGAAAACCACAGCAATTCTGAAGGGGAGAAAGAAAAAAAATGGAGGGTGGATAACAGTTTCTGCTGATATTCCTGAATTTACACTAATTTTCTAAACTTTGACCGATTTTCTGAACTTACACAGATTTTTCCAACTTACTGAAATGGCACTGATTTTCTGAACTTACATTGATTCAAAATGTGATCGCATACAATGATTCACTTAAAGGTCTCATAAAATACAAATAAAACAATTGAAACCAGTTAAATTAAGAATTTTGATTATAAATATAAATGTATCTGAATATTGATTTTTTTTCCTTATCTTTACTTAAGGAATGTGCAAATCAAAAGCAAACTGTTTATTCAAAGATCAGAAATCCAATACTATGCAATTCAAAGTCGCTAAGATATTAAAAAGGTTTTCTGATGTTAATAGAAGGTTAATTCAAACATTCTAAGCACAATGATATACAAACTATAGGTTGAAACTAAGATATATTACAAATATTTTCTCAACGATCGCTGATACCAGAGATAATCTTGGCTTACCTATACAGCAATTTATCAAAGACATACTAAGCAGATTAACAGCTCAAACATGCTGGACAATCAAATCTGGGGGTGCTATTCTTCCATTTTATCTTTGTGAGCTCTGCAAATTCAATTAAATAAATTTAATACATTCATTCAATCTAGGCAGTGTTTCCTTGTTAATTTAAATAACTCTTTAGCATAGAAATGAATCTCCATGATTATAAAAAAAAAATTCAAGCAAAACTAACCCAGTCCACCAAATAAAATAGTATACATTAATTAGATACAAAAAAGCATAAATAAATATTTAAACAAGAAATTCTCAAGCACTTTTCAAAATCATTCATCCATTAAGTTTTTAATCAATACCTACCTATAGAACGTTGTGAACATAAAATCAAACAAAATTGAATTTCCCACGTATTTCAAGTTGAGATGTGTAAAAAAAAAAAAAAAAGTTAACGTTGTTTTCCCAGTGAGAGAGGAGATTACTGTAAAATGCCATTCATAAGGAGAGCGGATGTGGTCTAGTTCAGCATTAGTGTTGCTTATCAGATTGTCAATCTATATACATAACATCTACGCTATACTCCCCGACAAAAGGGGCCCACATGGGGGAGAGGATCACACATGTTATCCTCAGTGCTTCTTTTAACTTTAAAATCCACTTTCCAGTTGAATTAACACTGAAACTTATTCATACCTACTTTAGAAATAACCTGTTTCTATCACTTGTGAGACCAGATGAAAAAACTTTTTTTGATAAAAAAATGTAACTCCCCTTGTCTGCCTGCCGAAGTACAATTATAATCCCACATTCCAGAGGGAAACAGTTTCATTCATAACATGCATGAAAAACCTGCTGAAATATTTCAATGCAGCCAGTCATTCACAAAAACCTGCCCGAAACTAGGTCAACATCTCAGCTCTCTTTTTTTGTTGTTGCAAGGAACATTTACAATGCGCCTTTTTTTTCCTTTTTTTTTTTAAATCTCTTGAGGTCAACTCCTTAAATATTCTCAAATCCTCTTCAACCAAAAAAAAAAATTTTTTTACAAAAATAAATTGTGCTCTTACATTCTGTGTGTTAACATCCAAGCATGGAAAACAATGTATAAGATGGCATTAATTGTCTGAGGTGAGGTTGTAGAACACCGGGGCTATACACACTACTGATTGGTTCTGGCTCTAATTAGTGCTGTTAGAGATTGGATCTCACTTTGTCCCGAGAAGCCAAGAGCCTGTAAATAGACACCCCTTTTGGGAGTTGTCTTACACAAGTAACTAACCCATTTCTCTTCTTCTTATCAATGTTTCCAGCTAAAAATAAATCTTCTCAGTCTTTCCTATCAAATATTCTTGTAAAATCTCAATTATTTCAATATATTTCAGATATAATGGGGAACATCTCAGTACTACCAGTTGACACCAGTATGAGCTAACATCCTGTGTTGTCAACAATGGAGAATTACAATCAATGAATATGAAATTCTAATTATGTTATTTCCTTTTCTGTACCTTGTGGTGTCAATTTTAGGGTTGACATTTACATTCAATGACCTTGACCTTTCTCTTTAATGAAAATAGAGGATTTGCTATAGAATGTCGGATCCATAGACAGTTTTGACCCCCCCCCTTTTTTTTTTAATTTCAAAAATTTTCTTTTAATTTTATCATTTTTCTGTTTCCACAAACATAAAAAATATATTCAAGTGTAAGAATCTCAATGTATTCTGTAACTTTGACCTATGAACCCCAAACTTAAAATAAAATGCATCCAAAACCCAGCATAGACTAAATAAAGTTTATGATTTATTTTCGCTTAACTCATGTAATTATGTAATTCTCACTTTATAATTATATAATTCTCACTCTATAACTCAAGTTTTTAAAGTGTCAAGTTGTGCTTGAGAGACACCATTCTAATGACATTGACGAACATCTACTTAAACCTTTGACTTACATGTGACCTTGACCAATTATAACCTTGTAGACTTGATAGAGTTAAAAAGTAAAGCCTATAACTTCTTTGTGAACATACATATGGGAAAATGCAAGTAAAATGTCACCCAGCTTGCTCAAACTTTGTTGGTGAGGTAATTATGTTTCTAAAAGATCAAAGTACACTAAAACGGATGATGACACTTTCCCCTTTCCATTTACACAAGCAATTGCCTTTCCATCAATATTCCCCCACACTTCCTCCAGTCGGTGCTGTGCTACTTGTAACACTTACAATCACTTTTGATTCACATGGTCAGCAAAAATCTCCTGACGCTTATAAATATAAAATGTCAAATTCACTGCCATAATTTTACCCCCCAAACTTCCAAGAAAAAATTCTACCTCATACAAAAATAATTGCACATCTTTCCATTCCCTTGAGGTCCCCCAAAGATATAGAACTAAAAAAAAAAGTATACCACTCTTGTAATTATAATATTATTTTACATTGAAACTTGGGACTTTAATTTATCAATGAATGTCTTAACATTGAACAGTTCAAAAACCCAGTCTATTGAATGACATTCCATTTTTTCTCATCTCCTTAAAGACCTTTCTATTCCTTGTGAACAAAACCAAATCCAAAATGAAACCTAAGTCATAAAATACACTTTTTTTATGGATAAACAATTAGTAATAACAATGAAGGATGACTGATTTTTCTCTGAATCATTGAGAAAACTGCAAGTCAGTGTGAGCTTTTTGCATGCTTTTTTTTTTTTTTTTTTTTTTTTTTGCAAAGTGACAAGACTTTTCCATACATTATGGCATTTCAATTTCTATTTTCCCATCCGTTTGGAAAACTATCTTATAATCTGATCTGTTATTATACAAGGATTGAATGATCTTGTGTCATACATAATTTATGATTTCATGGTGTTCACTGGAAATAAACTAGGTCATTTAACATTTCACAAGACTTGTGCTCATTCTTAAACTTTTCAGCTATATTTGGGGGGGAAGGAGGGGGGGGGAAATTTCAATCTCATGTAATTTCCATCTGTTTAAGCCTACAGTACAGATATACAGTACTATAACTTCTTTGTATAATGAAAGTGGTCCAAAATTTAATTTTCAAATGACTAGGTACACATAGGGAATTTATTTATAGATGCATGTGAACCTTTTCATCCAAGGTAAATTCAATGAGATAGATTAACAAAGTGACACTAATCATGAGCAATAAAAGCACAAATGCATTCTAAAGATTTCTTTCATTACTTTAGTTCAAAAGCTGCAGTATTACTATATTTAGCTGCAGTATTACTATATTTCTACCCCAATTCCTTTCTGTTTTACCATAACTGAATCAATTTTTTTACTGTAATTGCATAACAATGAATACTATCCCCCGATTTCTTACCTTTGTCCCCACAGTCAGGTATGTCCCCTCTTTTTCCCTCATTATCGAGTCAACATTACATTTTACATGGACTCTCCAAATTCATCCCCAGGAAAAGTGAAAGTGAATGAATTCAACTTTTTTTTCATTCAGACTTGACCGAGTATTTCCCTTCTATGTACACTCCAGTCATTAAGCCAAGGAAGCTCGCCTAAGTGCCTCATTATGACAATTTTCTAAGTCACAGTTAAGGAAACATTTGTAGGTCAAACACAATTGAAAATCCCGTTACAAGCCAGTAAAAAATCTGACTTTTCTATATATAACTTGCTCTGCCTACGTCCATACAAGGCTAACTATATTTACATCCTTTTTTAAAATGCTATGATTCTTGTTTAATTCTACTAAAAAAGAATAAGTATCTTTCAGTTTCTTTGCTTTATAATTTCAGAACAAGTTCAAAAAGCATGAAAGACAGATTTCTACAAAACTATGCATTAAACAGAAAAAAGAAACAATAGAATGGTTGTTTCTTAGATCTTTTCCCCACAAATCCAAGACTAATGACCAAAGCAAGATGACAAATTCCTTAAAGAATCAACAATTTTTTTTATGAATTAACACTTACCCCACCTGAGACCATCAACAAATAAAGAAATCACAGACAAACTGTCTTGACAAATGGAACGACCAACCAGGTGAAATACAAAGACAGGTCTAGTGTTAGGACAACTTCAGACTTGATGACTATATATTTTTAATTACACATCATATGACTGGAAAACAATGTGACCATGATTTTCCTCCAAGTCATAATAAAAGGATTGATTATTTCAGGATCTTATAAAAATTGTGTGTTTTTTTATATAAAAAACACTATATCCTGTTGAAGTAATAAAGTATGGAGTACTGTTAATGTTTTTTAATTGGAATTTAATAAGTACCCTGTTATAATACTGCTGGTGATGTCATGACTATTTACCTCCTCGTGGTGGCGTACTTCAGATGTGTGAAGAAAGTCCTTTATCTGGGCCCTCTGAATCACTCCTCTGACAAATCAACTTCCCGGTTACCAGGTCTACAAAAAGCCATCATGTGTTCATTGTTAAATGTGAGATTTCATCATTTATGCCTGGTTAACTGGAGGGTTAAATTTCAACATACAGTTAAGGTTCAAAATTCCTTTTTTTTTTTTTTTTTTTTTTTAATATTTTTTCTTTTTCTGAGAGGGGGGTGTCATTTCAAACCAGGTTATAAAGTTTCAATCCTTCATCAAAATTTAAAATAGCATAAGAAGTTATAATTTTCAATTTTTCTGTCCTTGCAAGGGGTGGGGGATAGGTTTCTTTCCCACCATGAAGGCAATTAATTTTTTAATTATTCAAATCTTAATAAATAAATCTTTTTTGGCAAGATTATTTTAAAATTTGTAATCGTTCTACAAAGATCTATACCTTTTGAGAACGAATGAGCCCTGGTACTATTTAATACTTCAGACTGCATGTCATGGATAACGGGTATGTCCTACAAGAATATACACACATAAAAATAAAGATACTCACAGTGCTATTATCAAATTTTGCATAGTAATTCCCTGGAACTTTAAAATGGCAAAAGTAACTTAATTAATAGGCATATCATGTATCCACTAGATTTAAATTAACAGATTTAATTTCCAGCACTATTCATCCTTTGCTATCAATATCCACCTTGAAGTATGCACCGTTTAACTTTTAAATGTATAAAGAAAAAGAAATATTTATGAATTTAAGGACCAAAGATGTGCATTAGTAAAGCTCGAAAATCATAAAGAAAAAATATCCTGTTCACTTGTCATCAACATTCAACTCAAAATGAAAGTCATTTGATCACACAAACTTATGACTTCAAATTTTCAAACACCTGACCGTTAGTGAACAAATTTCAGATATATAATCAGCGGTCTTTTTTTATTTGCATATTCTTCACAAGATCAATTGAAATATAATTTAGTCGAGTGTCACATAAAAGCACGAATACGACCTAGCTGAATCAGCGTTAATTTCAAAGCACTCCGGGAGACACCATCATTTATTAATTAAACCAACTAAATACAATATAAATAAAATTTGCAACTTCATTAATCCTTGGATACATGGAATCTAAAATGTTCTGCAAGCCAAACATAAAATGCAAAAAGCGGATTCAAATTGCCCGAAATAAATCGAAGTAGTCGCTAGTTCGGATTGCACGTTGTCTTATATACATGTTACACAGGGTCCGACATTTTTCTGGGGCTTTTTTCCATAATGTTATACCTACCTTTGAAATATGTACTTCATTTCACAGTGACTTGTGTCATAATCCACTTAGAACTCCCCAGTTATGGGTTAAAGTATTCCAAATATTACTAATAACAATAGATTTGCTTTATAATATTTCATACTTGGCACTGTCCTCCATTTAAAAAGAGAGAGAGAGAAAAAAGTATCTATAGACACAGTTAGTGATTTGATCCTTGGTGTACACAAAATCTAGAACTTGTTGTAAAGTATTCTCCTTTTTTTTTGTATGCAACTCCCTTATCACTCTGGACTCTGGAAGACATCCAAGTCACAACCCACTGAAGAAATAAATAATGCAAAAATATGCATATCTGGCATATTTTTAGATGCCTCCAGAGAAAATTGTAACTCTGTCTTATTCAAATTTCTGAAACAAGTTTTTAAACATGATTTTGAATGTAAAATCTTTCTTGTAAATAAAAAATCAGGCTCCATAAATCAGTCGATTAATGATGCATTTTTGACTGATCCCTACAGTATGTCTTCCCTTCTATATCTTCTCTGTCTATAACAAATCAATATATTCTCAGTCCCTGAATGTATTAATTCTTTTTAAGTGGATAGCTAAAAATATACTGGATAATAAAAAAAATAATTGAAAACATTTTTTTTTCACAACCGATGGATTTCCCTTTTTGATTTTCATACAAATGTATTAAATATAAAATTAAAAAATTAAAAAAATAATTGTACTTTCATTATGAATGAGAAGTGCAAGCTCTTGACGTTTCTTTTTTTTTATTCTTGTCGTAATCTGCCTAATAATTTATAGAAAATTTCCCTGATCTACCTAACAGAAATTTCTGGCACACCTTTAGTCAGATAATTTATGTACATAAACACATTTTTCGCATTCTTATTTTCTTTTTTTTAATGACAAGAGTTACATATTGGAGATGTAATAAAGAGATATACTTTCTGGTTCACTAGAACGCAGGAAAGGTTATTAAATTCATAATTCCCTTTCAAGACACTGTGGGATTTAAACATCATATGATCAGCTAAAACTGACCACAATTTATTTACCTGATGGCAGGCTTCCAAACCCTCTGAAATATGTTGATGTCTACCATTTTTACTTTAAAGAGAGCTCCAAATTTCCATCTTATGTTTGACAAATAATGAGAAAAAGTCCCCATTTTTTGCATTTTAATTATGACAGTTATTTTTGGCCTTTGTAACTGAAAATTTCTTTGAAATACACCTTGAAAAAGACTTAAAATAATTTATCTTAAAATGTCAACTTCACAATCAAATAAACCTTCTACATTTTAAATAATGATTTGTTAGATTCCTTCTTTTATTTCAAAAATATTTTTTTCCTACATTCCTGTACAATATGGTACTTAAATTTACCATTAAAACGTTTTAATTTTATTATAAATACAAAGCATTTAAAGAATTCAAAATTAAGAAAAAAAGAAAACCACCAAAAGATAAAAATGAACAACAGTTTGCCTTGAGGAGAGATTTAGACTAACTGTCAGAGCTCGTACATTCATCTTCTGACAATCTAAGTCACTACCTGACTACCTGTAATCCAGCAGGACAAGATTATACTTTCTACAGAGCCCCACTCCACATGCTTTCGTGACAGTCTTGATGATAGCAGTTTGATAAAAACTCGGGAAACATTAAAATTATGCAGCTTTTTAATCCTAAGGAGCAAAATGTTGATCTTGTCAGAATAAAAAAACCCATACTGCACCAACTTTGTGCTACCACAGAAACCATAAAAAGGAATACCTTGTACACATACAAATATCAGTTAGGTAATGATGGAATGTCACATATAAATGACACAAATCACAAGCAATTAGCCCTGTTTTTGGCAAGATATTAATAAATTATTTTTTTTCTTCTTAAAATAATGCTAAGAAAAATCTAAACCCCTGAGAAAAAAATATAAATTAAGACTTTTTTCTTTAAGGGAAAAAAGGGGTTTCTCAATTTTTTTCCCAAAATAAAAAATTTGGTTGCTAGATTTTTTTCTCCTAATATAATAATTACTGGCTAACTTGTTATTCAACTGAAGTAGGTTGATAGGAATGCAGGTGTATTAGGTACATCAGGTGTTAAAAACTCCTGATACGTGATACTTTTATCTATTATATTCATCTTGGGAATAATTAAATTCTATACACCTGAGGTCTTGAAACAATACACCAAAGGTGAAATTTCATAAATCATTTTTATAACACAATAAAAATTTTAAAAATTTATCTAATTTTTTTTTCAGGAAATCTAATTAATTTAATTTTAAAAAACACATTAGAAATTAAAGAAATTATCTATAACTATGAAGAAATTCTTCATTCACAAAAAGTAACCATATAGTTTAAAAAACTTGAAAAAAAAAAGATTCTCAAAGATAAAAAATAATTACCTGCTGAAAATTCTCTTTTTTCACCCAACTCAAAAACCTTTTGCAAATTGTGCCGGTAGGTTAAAAAATACATTTTCACTTGGGAAAAAAGGAAGAAATTTTGTTTTGTGGCTGTGTGAACACGGCCGACACAGCACGACTTTACCTGCCCATATCGGCGACCAGGTAACACCTAGGTATGTGGTCCAATAAAGTATGTCAATGTATAGTTCTTAGCATTCCTTCAACGCTCGAACGAACAACTTCATAGCCCGCTTTTATCTACATTGGAGGGGGAGACACTTGCAATATGACTAAATGTATCACAGGAGATAAGTTTCTTTACCTTCATGGTCCTGATCATTGTTTAGCCTGAGTACAGTCCTGTACATTATAACTGTCCAAAAGACTTTTAAAAGATCTTCAGTGCAGCTTTTCCACTTGACTTGTGTATCTCATCTGTACGCAGAAAAAAAAAATGTTAATAAAGAATGTCAACATTTTTTCCTAGTATAATGACATATAAATAGGTGGGGCCATTAAATTACGATGGAAAAACTGTGGGAATGCAGATTTTGTGGTCAAAAGACTATGAATGCATAAAGTTTCTACATTTGTTTCAAAGCGATATTGGATTCTTGTATAACGACAATGCAAAATCAATACACTTCATTGGAATTTCATTCATAGTTATTCATTCTATTTTTGACATCTTGTTTATCAATGTCACTTCAAGTTTGAGCATGCAGACATAGTTTTTATATCCAGTAGATAAAAGGTGAATTTTCTCTACTGCTTTGCATTCTGAATTCATATGCCAAAAACAGCTAGGACAAGAGAATCGATTAAAATGTACATTGGAAATATGACCTTTAAACCTTTTAAGATCTGAATACTTTTAATATGAATATTACCTGGCCTTCTCATGTTACACAGCTACATTACCTGATAATAGATGGCACTTCAAACTTCGCATTTCACTACTCATGTTCACTTTCTTTGCAGTCTAAAAATAAAAGGTAAAAAAAAAATTAACATGAAAATGGAAAACTACAGACACATCTGATGGGACTAAACCAGTTTCTTCATTTGAACATTTTATTCAATAAATTTTTTTTTTCACCTTTCCATTTTCAACAGCTGTAATTAAGATATAGAAAAAAATCTAAATAGCACTCTTTATTGAATGAAAGACTTTAACATTTGATGCATGTCAGAAAAAATGAATAGGAAATTAAATATCTTCATCAATGAACTGAAGGACATATTAAGTTAATGAATTTTTTCTCTTTGAAATTTCATGTCACAAATGTGACTACATTGACAATCATCGTCTAAAGTTAGGCTCATATATGATTATATCCTTGTTAATGACTTCAGGACAGATTTAGGTTCAGACTAAATGAATCTATATATAAATATTTCCAAAAATAACCATTTAGCCCTCATTATATTATCTATAT